CACATTCAAAAATGATACCAATTGTGGGCCAAGGAATGAGAATTGTCAGGGATTCAAACCGAGAGTCAAACTTGTTTGTAATTTAATTTAATATTCATAAGATTGATGACCTTCATATAACCATCCCTTTATTTATGAGGATTTTGACATCTAAGGAAATAATAATATCAATAGAAAATAAATAGAAGTGAAAAGAATTTTGGCAGATCTTTGATAAAATGCGAGTCTTTAATGAAAGAATGCTCTAAATAAAGTAAAGCTTGATTAAATCTTAATTTATGAATAAACCTTATAAGGTAGATCCTGGCATATCCAAATATTATAGCTCTAAAATAGGTAGTGGATGACACGTCGTGATTGCACCCTAAATGATTTAGTTGATTGTTATTGAATGCTAATTCTTGGTGAAGTAATCAACTAAATCAAAATCATCCCTTAGCTTTTTGAGTCCAACGCATATCTGGATCAATCTTATAAATTAGATGCTAGGCTGTACTTACATTGTAGTTTACTTTAGGCCATTGCTCTTTCAAACATATTTATTAGATTAATTATGTTGCCACTTTCATATATTATTGGTCATATGGGTTTTGGCAGGATGAGACGTTGAGGGCAAGGTGTTTTTTAAATAATTCGATAGTGGAGGCCTCTTTGGTCAATTTTTATTGAAGCAGTTCCTCACTAAAGTAAAGTATCTTCTTCCTTTAACAGAGCTATTCTAATGCATGATCAGAATCCCTATTGTTGAGTTAACACAACCTGGGTTGTTAATTCACTTTTTAATCTAGCCGCATCATCCATATTTTGCTTTCCATATGTTTTGAATGAATTTTTTCGAGTAAGCTTTGTTCAACTTTGGGACTGCTTCTGCATCTACCTTGCTCGAAGTTTCAAGTGCAGTTCTTTATATATATATATATATATATTGCTTATCAAATGAAAGCTAATATGCTTTTTTGTTTCCCTAATTAGCTTGGGTCAGTTTTGGAACTCTGTTTTTAGCCTCTCGTTGATTGTCTGTGAGGTTCTTTTATTTTTTGAATTACAAATGTAATCATGTAGCATTTCTGCCACTTTCTTTTTTCTCTGCATTTATCTTTTGTGTTATAAACTAGTAAACTGCTGTGATGCTATTCACTTTCTATTTGCAAGATTGTGTTTTATTTACAATTCATTTTTTTTCTTCTGTTCTCCTACTCTAGTTTGTCAATAAATGACTTGAATCGACAAACTGGCCCAAACTTGACTTGAAAAATTCAGGTTTGGGTTGACCCAATTATTACTCGAGTTGGGTTTGGGCGTGAAATCTGGACCTGATTAATTTTCTGATCAGGTTCGCGTTGACTCGTAATTATGAAATTAACTTGAAATTGATTGATTATCATTTGTTTTAGGGTTAAATGGGTCATTTTCGGATTAATTTGGTCATATTTTGGTTAAATGAGTAATATTGATATGAAAAAAATTATTGGATCCATATAATAAACGGGTTAAATGGGTTGGGTAATTGATTCAAGTTTGGATCAAATATTTTGACTCATGATAAACTGATTGGGTTCAGGTCAGGTCAACTTTGGATCAAACCTGAACCCAGTCTGCCAATCCGAATTAACACCCCTAGTCCTAGTATGTTTCCTTTCTCCATCTCCCTGCCGCTTTGTGGTCTGCATTGGAGCTTTAGCAGATTTTTACATTCTTAATACTCTTTCACAATTACTTTATCTCCTACATTTGTTTGCACTTGTGTTTCTTCGGTTTTGCCACATTATACATCTTACAATTTATCCTCTGTTTTTCTTTACTGGCTGAAATGATATCCGGTTCTTGTTTTTCTGCAACATCAAGCTATTTGATGAATGGGGTTAGTCTTATTGACTATTTATTGGGCTCAGCCTAAATTTACTTCCTCTCATTGGTAAATCAAGTGGTGGGTATTTTCAATATTTTATGTCTCAGTAGACTAACTAAGCAACCATTTATGGGGGTGGTCTTTTAGTCCGGTCCATTGGACCGGTCCAGCCGGTTCATACAAGACCGGCTCACGGAGACAGAGGTGGAAGAGTTCCGCCTCTTATGTATGCTGCTCGAATCTCAGGAGCCAACAGAGCAGTTTAGGAAGGATTTTTGAGGGAGTTAGGAGGGAAATTTCAAAGTAGGGGTTGTTTAGAGATTTCCATTGAATTTTATGTATTAAGGAGTATGTTTTGCTAGGGTTGGGACCTCTTGAATTTGGCTGAAATTTGAGATCTTTTAGTTTTGTGGGCTCTAGCGGCGTCTAGAGAATTGGGAGAGATAGATCCTTCTCTCGAATAGAGGATCAATTGTATCTTGGTATTTTCCATTTCTATTTCTTCAAATAATACAAATTATCTACTATTTTTTCTAGTTTTGTGGATTTTTTTGGAAGAATTCTCATTGTTTTCCAAAGATTGATAGGAATTACTCGAGATCTATGAGTGTTTCCTATAAAATGGTATCAAAGCAATTTCCTAGGCCGAAATAGAAATCTTCTCGTTAATTTTTGCTCTGTTTTTTCTCCGATCTTGCTTTTTTTTGGCTGTTTGAAGACCAGAACCACTATTTTTGGGCCGTTTTTGCTGTTTGGAGCCTAGATCCGGGTACTCATGGCTGGGAAAAAGGTCAAAGTATTGGAAGGAGGGATCTGACAAATGAAATATGAAATTTCAGATCTCCAAGCTCAAGTTTCAAATTTTAAAAAAGATATATCAGTCATCTATGAGAAACTTGATTCGATTTTTTTCATTCCGGGGGAGATATTGAAGAAAGTGCTCGAGGACCAATCAAAAATATCGATGTCGGAGGTGAGGGAAGGCGTCGACAGCCAGAGAAGTGGGGGAAACCCTAAGCCAATCAGACGAAGGGAAGATTAAGAGATGGAGATTTTGGAGGGAACAAAAAAAAATCCTCCTCTAGGGCCTATTCCCTATTCCTAAGGAGGAGTTGGGTAGAGGCTAGGAGGAGAGGTGAGAGGAGGTAGAGAAGGATCGAAGAGGTGTTGATTTGGAGAGGAGAGGGGTGGGATTTGAAAGGGAAAGGGGTAATTATTATCAAAGCGCTGAATTTGAAAGGGGAGAGGTTTGTTGTGATTTAAGGGGTGTTGAATTTGAAAGGAGAATGCTAGAATTTGATGAAAGGCTTGGAAATGAACGTAGAAAGAATGATTGAGACACTTGGAGGGAAACCACCCCTTGGGGAATGGGAAATTATGAAGGGAATAGAGGAAACGGAGGCGATCTGAGAATGAGGAAGTTGAAGATGCCTATTTTCGAGGGAGAGGATGCCCATTGATGGATCTTCAAGGTGGTACTTTATTGTTAACAGGTTGACGGAGGGGGAGAGACTAATGACTGTCGGGATGTGCTTGGAAGGGAAAGCATTAGCATGATACCAATGGTGGGATACGAGGCGACCGATATAGACTTGGAGGGAGGTTAAGAATTGCTTGTTGGAATGTTTCCAAACCAACATGGGAGAGAATTTCTATGAGCAGTTCTTTGCTTTGATGCAGGAGGGAACAATAGTGGAGTACCGTGAGCTATTTGAGTACCATGCCAGTCGATTGGATCGGCTTTCAGAGACTGTACTGAAGGGGAACCTTATGAAGAGATTGAAACCAAAGATCAGCGTAGTGGTTAGAGTGATGAGGCCCCTTGAATTGGGAAAGGCTATGTAGCTAACTCAATTGGTGGAGGATCAGAGGCACCCGGAGAGAGGAACGGGAGGCAGTAGCTCAGTTGTCTCGTACAGGATGACCACCACCTTTTTGGTACCGAAGGAGCCAACACCGGATACTTGTTGGGAGACTTGAAAGGAGAAAACTATAAGAGGAAGACCTGGGGGTAACTTCAAGAAGCTCTGGAATTATAGGAGAAAATGATGAAGGGGCTTTGTTTCATATATTACGAGAGGTATACGTTGGGGCATAGGTGTAAGGACCGAACTCTTCAGTTTCTTATCATTTGTGATGAAGAGGGAATGGAGGAGGGGGTCGTCTTTCCACCTTGTGGACAAGGTGGACCTTTGGGAGTGGAGTATTGTTAGATCTGTTCATACAATGGAGATAGGCGGAAGAGTTCCGCCTCTTTTGTACACCGTTCGAACCACAGGAGCCAACAGAGCAGTTTATGAAGGATTTTTGAGGGATTTAGGAGGGAAATTTCAAAGTATGGGCTGCTTAGAGATTTCCTTTTGAATTTTATGTATTAAGGAGTATGTTTTGCTAGGGTTAGAACATCTTGAATTTGGCTGAAATTTGAGATCTATTTGTTTTGTGAGATCTAGCGTCATCTAGAGATTTGGGAGAGAGATCCTCCTCTCGAATAGAGGTTCAATTGTACCTTGGCATTTTCCGTTTCCATTTCCTCAAATAATACAAATTATCTACCGTTTTCCTAGTTTTATGTGGATTTTTGTGGAAGAATTCTCACTATTTTCCAAAGGTTGATAGGAATTACTTGAGATTTACGAGTGTTTCCTATCATGGTTAAAGTAGCATATAGTGTAAATTAGCACATTTAAATTTCTGTACTTATACTGATATATGCATGTGGTTGGATGGGCATTTGCATTACTTGATTACAAATTCCTTTTGTGTATGCGGTCTTATTCAAGCGCAGTATGTCTTTTTCCATTTGAAGAAGGAAATCTCCATAAACAATCCTTGGTGCTTTTCTATTCTAAAACAATGTTTTCAAAATTATAATGTGTTTCAGTCATTGCAAAGGTTCGCAATGGATTACGAGCCACAATTTTTCCTTGCGTGCAACTATTTGTTTTGGGAACTTTTTTATTTCTTTTTGAGCAATATTCATCATGTCGATCCAATTTACTTGCAATATGATTCAAATTATTGTGTTTAGGTGTCCAAATATTAGGCATCGCTTTTTTAATTAGTTGTCATGATGCTAAGAGCTTTATTGTAATTACTGGTTGGAGATTCTTAGAATATTTGACACCTTTTCATCTATTCTTCTTCTCAGGGACTAGCTAGAACACTGGAGAATGATACTAATTTAACGGATTATGAAGTGCGGTCAAATGTTCAATCTAGTGCATTCAGAACTGGATTTTTTCTGCAGAACTTGGGCTCATTGTTTCTTGAGCTCGGTCGCACAACCATGACTCTGCGCATGGGACAAATACCTGTAGGTTTCATGGACTGTTTTATCTACCTTTAGCCTTTATGTAATTTGATGTTATCTGTGTTCTGTAAGATATGTTTAAAGATTTTTCTTTTATGAAGGCTGAAGCTGTTGTTAATGCTGGACCTGCTGTTTTTATATCTGCATCTGGGCCAAACCCTGTCATGGTGCAGGTTGTATACTTTACATTATTTAGTTAGAGTTTGAGATTCCCATTATTATTGTTTATTTCAAACTTATATTGTTTGCTGCAGCCTGTTCCTTTCTATCCAGCGCCAAGTTTTGGAGGGATGGACATGGGATCTACAAATTCGGTTCATGGTCCTGAGGGTGAAAGAGTTGGTTCTGCAACTTTTCCAAGAAATATTGATATTCGAATCCATGCAGGTACTATGAATTCATAATACTATCATAATGTTGGCCTGTATCATTTAGGATACTGTCATTTTGAGGAAATTCTTTCTAATTAGAGAGCTGTGCAGTTCCTATTCCAGCTTCTAGCCAAAGTGGACTGGGGGGTGGTGCACAGCAACAACAAGAAAATTTGGATTCAACAAGGGCTTCTGCAAATGGTGATTCTGTTCATCAACCAGTTCAAGCTCACCCACGCAGTGGAACTTTGACTGGAGAATTTGGATTGAGAGTAGTGCCTGTAAGAACAGTGGTAGCAATGCCGGCGGGAATCAGCAATTCACAATCCAATTTGTCTGACAATTTGGCTCCATTGCTTCATCCTTTGATATCTAGAATCCGACAACGAAACAGTGGCAGTGTGAATGATGCATTAAGTCCTCAAGCATTTCCTTTCCATCAGGGTGGCATTGAAGCCAATCAAGAGTCTATTCCTGATTCCTTGAGACAAATTTTTGAATCTTATATTGGTGGTTCTGTCCAGGAGGCTCAGGTTCCATCCTACACTGTGCCAGTGGTTTCCGAATCAAATATGTCACCAGTAGCACAAATTGACCATCAAGGTCAGTATTGCTATTGTAGTTTCATCTTGTAACATGTTTTATTTATTTTCATTTTTACCATGTATGGATTTGAAGTCGTAATAGCTTTGCTGAATTTTTTAGTGGACAGTTTGTGACATTAACTTATCCTCGGTTATCTGGTTTGATAGTTTGCAACACGTTGCCTCCCACAAAATACTTTCAAAATTAAAATTTTTTCTTATTTCCTCAAGATTTTGTGAGTTATTGGAGGAGATACAATGTCTAATCAAAATTTTGAACTAGGTGTTAGTGATGCGGGAACCCATAGCTTGCGTTTACCTTTCTTGCTATTATGTTGGACTACAAATTTTCTGTTGCTTCTATAAGTTTTCCCTTATTAATCCTGGACCTTAGAGGTCCTTTGTTGTTCTAATTAGTATAGCCTGTACAACTATGTATCTTCTTGATTTGTACTTTTTTCTTTTACTTTTTGATGCATTGCATACCTTCAAACATGAAAAAATAGTTTACAAACACTCAAGTGGCCATAGACGAACTACCTAAAGTTAAACAAAGTGAAAGTAGATTTGAAAAATGCCCATTTTCAAGCCATTTAAGGCTGATTTATGATTATAGTCGAATTTCTTCTACTTTTTTAATTTGATTTTATCAGGCGTTATCTTCTTTTGGATTAGAATAAATTTAAATTTAAAGTTTGATTGGATATGAGTAGATTGCATTTGAATATTTGGTCTTATTTTTAAACCCAATTTCTATAAGTAGGGATTTGCGATGAACATTTAAAATTCCTTATTATTGAATGAAATTATTTGGTGCCAATTAAGTTTTTTCTAGGTCTAAGCTTTGATACCAAAATTTGTTGGAGGGTAAAATAGAAGAAAACTACACACATACAGTTTGAAGTTGCAAAGGTCCAAACGTTTAAATGTAATCTAATCCTATGAAATCCGACCAACTTTAAATCTAAACATATTATGATACAAGAGATGATAACACCTAGTAAAATAATTCAAAGTAAAAAAAAAAAATTAGTGAGTTTTTTTTGGATTTGCTTTTGCTTTTGCTTTGTTTGACTTCAGATAATTGGTCTATTGATCATTTGGGGTTTTGTGGTTTGTTTTGATACATTTTAATGCTTGCTCACAGTCACGATACCTTTCAATTTCTCTCTCCTTTGTAGATGCCACATGTTAACTTCTTTGTGTGTATGAGTTTGTCTATGTTAACATCCCCTTAATTTTTATGGATGATTGACATCCATCTCCTTTAGGAAGAATGAGACAACTCTTATTGTATAGTAGTCAAATTATTTTGCAGGTGTAAGCTATCAACTCAATATCTTTCTAACACCCTGCCTCACCCCGAAAAGTGGGAGTAAGGATTGAATGCATTTAGAGTGAAATCTTTAGCAAGGAATGACATTGCATTTATTACAATTTTTTTCCGTCATATTATCAACTTGAATCTTATCACATCTCCTTCGTTCCATTTATCTTTGAAAGTTATGATTTTTTTTTTAATCATGATACCTTTTACTTCGAATTTTGCATATGTTTGCTACTTTGCTTTAATTTTTAATCAACTTGGTTGGTCATGATGAGATTCTTGATTGATAGAATTTGAAGTGAATAGACATATTTAAAGCTTTATGCATTTAATATTGCATCCAAGATAAATCTCTTATGTTGGGTGAATCATACCTTAACTTGAGTTGTTGGTGCTTTAAGAAGTAAGAAGTTTGCTGAAAATGTTGATCTGTCAATCAATGTCACATCACTTCTACTTTGATGGTTGTTTAAGTGAAATTGATTTATTTTTCTAATGGCCATTCGAGGGTTATCTTAGTAACCCTTTGATCCTACTATAATATGCACCACCATGCTACCTTTTAAGGAGCATAAATGCGTTGTTATTGACCAATGAACTTCTTACTAAATAGAGGCCTTGAGGATGTTGTTGTGACATTACCAAGGTTCATGCTGAGGTTGATCTAATGATATTTTTGGGGTTTGTTTGGCCTAGATCTAATTTGGCTAGCCTATATAAGACTTGCAGGTTTAGGTTGGATTAGCCTTTATTGTCTAGTTGGAAACCATATTGGCCTTACTAGCTGGCTTGCCTTGAATTCCGTACCAACTAAGATGAGGGGCTATCAATACCTATGATATGAGGGTTAGGAGGGGTATTTTTGGAGGTCAACAAGAGTAGTGAGCTAAGGGCTTCTCTTATTTTGGTGATTTATTTTCTCCTTGTTTTTGGAGGTTAAAATTTCCAACATTTGTTGTGTGGCAGGTGGTTGCTGAAGATCCTCCGAGTAATAATATTGGCATTGAAACATCAAAATCTTTTAGTTTAAGAAAAAATGAGATGCACTTTTGACATAAAGTAGCTCATACACAAAAAACTCTTTAATAAGAGCATACTGAAAAGGTTGAAAAAATATGTAACATTGTAAACAAAATCTAGTTGGAGGGTAAAAATGAATCAAGGGTTATACATGGATGCCATTGAACTCACTAATTCTTGTCCCAATGGAAATAAAAGAATCTTGAAGGAAGCACAGTAGCCCGCCAAGTAAAGAACACAAAATTATTGAGACAACTATATTGACCGAAGTTCTCACTAGTAGAGGACATGCAAAGAAGGAAAGAATAGATGGTCTTGATGTGAGATATATCAAAATTTAAACCACTTCCAAAAAAAAAATCCTCATTTTCCTAGAATGTAGTGGATTTACCGTAGTAACTTTAAGCTGACTTGGTAAATAACACGAAGTATCAAATTCTTTGTCCTGAAATTGCTACAATTTTGCATCCTACTCTTTTGTCAAATATTGGAAATAAGCACCTAACCAATTAATAAGTAGCAATTTTATAACATGTCATTTTTGTGGCTAGAGAAGCTGTGTTGCAGCATTTGTATTAAAAAAGCATCACATAAAAACAAATTTCCATCTAGAAGCAAGTTTCTGGCCAACCACATATAATAGGAGTATTAAAAAATGAGAAAAAGGATCAAAATGGCCCCTTGACTCTTTATGAAGGATCAAAATGATCCTTAACTATATTAAAGGATCATTTTGATCTCTTAAATCTTTTAAAAAAAGTCAAAATAGTCGCATAGTGGGACTATTTTAATTCCTTTTTAAGGAGTTGACAGACTAAAATGGTCCTTTAATATAATTAGGGATCATTTTGATCTTCCATAAAAAGTCAAGGGACCATTTTGATTCTTTTTTCATTAAAAAATAGATGTTTTTTATTCTTATCCAAATGAGCATTTAGAACACAACAATTAGAACAACTAATCCTCTTAACCCTAAATTTACTTGTAGTATTAAAGACTATCTAGTCAAGATTTCTACGTATAGATTGAATATTTAAGAGTTTTGCTTAAACCACTAAAAACATTTCCAAGCAACCTTTGATAAATTATCAAATATGGGATTACCAACATTAAAACGTCAATTAGCCTTTCCCTTTCCAAATAAAAATTTCATTGCCACCATCAATGGCAATGTTGCTAATGCTATCCCAACACACTGAAAAAACTACACAAAGTGATAGGAAGTTTCCAAATACCATCACAAACAACAACAATAATATCAAGCCTTTATCCCACTCTTTATTTTATAAGCCATATTCAAATCAGAGGGCAAAACATGACGAAGCATGCCCTTATCTTTGAGTCCAGTCTAAGTGCTCTAAGGGAGAACATGAAATTTTTTGTTAGAAACAAAATCAAAAAAGAAATTTAGAAATAAGAAAAATTAATCTTCTTAACAACTTTAGACGTACAAGTGAATAAATTAACAAGAGTAGTTATATAAGGGACCTTATTGAGGTGCGCAACCTCTCAGCAAATTATAAAAATGTTTGCTTGCAGCCAGCAATCCAATCATCAATCTTTTCAAAAAGTGGTGGAAAGTCTTAAATTATTAACTTAGTTCTAGAAATCTGAATGCTTGAGTATTTAGAAGGCAAGCACCCAAGTTTAAGACCATAAATCTCTCTAAGATTATGAGATTTAGAAGGAAAAAAACCTCTATCACAATCCAAGAAGAATTGATGCGAGACAATGCTGTCAATGGCATTCCAAATGAACTTCCTCTCCAAAGAAGCATTATTAGCATAAACAATAGTAAGAAGAAACTCAAAACTGTTGCAGAATCTAACCATTCCATGGATGAACTAGGGATTGACAACAATAGGTTCATGCAATTAGAGTTCCACTTATTCTAAATCTCCCTTGAGCGATAGTGGTAAAACTATTGCAATAGCCCTCACAAACAAATGGAAATTCTTGTTGAAGAACGGGTTTTGAAAAGTCTTCAGAAATTTATCTTCATGTGATATATATGGTTAATGGAGGATTGCTGAATAATATTTATACACTAATGGAGTCTACCAACCTCTTGAATGACTTGGAAGTTCTAGGATGTTAAGATTGGGTATGATATTGGGGTTCGGAGCCCATTTTAGTCTATGAGAATTTCTAGTGTTGCTCTAAAGGAAGAAGAGTGATTTGAGTCATTTTGTGGAGGGCTATAGTTAAAAATTAGGGCTATGGTTAAGGTCCATAAGATTTAGTATAGGGGGTTAGGGGAATATTGGGAAAGGTTGAGATAGTTGTCAAAATTAGTAAGATTGATTGAAGGCAATTTTGGGATTAAATGTCAGATTTAGAGTTGTGAACTTGGGCAGTTACAATTTCCTCCAAATAATTAGAGGTGTGCAAGGTGGAATTGGGAAGTAGATTTTAATATAAATCTCCTCCTCTGATGCCTACTTCAACTTCTTCCACCGAAGTGTGCAGGATTATACATAATGTCACGACCCGGTTTGATAAGTTCGCATAGGCGAGATGGGAACGGAGGTCGGACGGTAGACTAAACTATCCAATCTCTAAATATATCACCTTAAAATTTGAAAGTACCACTAAAAACATTAAATTTGAAAACACATATATATAAAATCATTAAGATTCATATAATTATCTTTCTTCATGCGTGCCTCTTT